GCCTCAACACCCAAAAAACAAATAACCCAATTAAAAAATGGGCAGAGGATCTGAACAGACACTTCTCCAAAGAAGAAATGCAGATGGCCAAACAGACACATGAAAAAATGCTCCACATCGCTAATTATCAGGGAAATGCAAATTACAACCACAATGAAATATCACTTCACACCAGTTAGGAGGGCCAACATTAAAAAGACAAGGAACAAATGCTGATGAGGATGCAGAGAAAGGAGAACTCTCCTACACTGTTGGTGGCAATGCAAATTAGTTCAACCATTGTGGAAAGCAATATGGAGGTTCCTCAAAAAACTAAAAATAGAAATACCATTTGACCCAGGAATTCCACTCCTAGGAATTTACCCAAAGAATACAAGTTCTCAGACTCAAAAAGACATATGCACCCCTATGTTTATCACAGCACTGTTTACAATAGCCAAGATATGGAAACAACCTAAGTGTCCATCAGTAGATGAATGGATAAAGATGTGGTACATATACACAATGGACTATTATTCAGCCATAAGAAGAAAAAAAATCCTACCATTTGCAACAACATGGATGGAGCTAGAGGGTATCATGCTCAGTGAAATAAGCCAGGCGGAGAAAGACAAGTACCAAATGATTTCCCTCATTTGTGGAGTATAAGAACAGAGCAAAACTGAAGGAACAAAACAGCAGCAGACTCACAGACTCCAAGAAGGGACTAGCAGTTACCAAAGGAGATGGAGGAGCTGAGGTAAGGAGGGAGAAGAGGATTAAGAGGCACTACAATTAGCACACACAATATAGGTAGGTCATGGGGAAGGCAGTTACAGCATAGAGAAGACAAGTAGTGACTCTACAGCATCTTACTATGCTGATGGACAGTGACCGAAATGGGGTATGTGAGGGGGAACTTGAGAACATGGGTGAATGTTGAAACCACAATGTTGCTCATCTGAAACCCTCCTAAGACTGTATACCAATGATACCTTAATTAAAAAAAAAAGTAACTAGCCTGTATTCTTCAAAAATGTCAAAGTCAAAAAAAAAATAAAGGACAACCGTGGAACTGTTCTAAATGACAGGAGACAAGACAGTAAGTCATAAAAAGGAAATGAAATGTGTTAGCCTACGTAGGATCCAGGATCAGAAAAATTTTTTTATTTTGCTATAAACAACATTAGCGGGACAACTGGAAAAATTTGAGTAAGGTTTGTAGATTAAATAAGATTACTGTATTAATATTAATTTCCTGATTTTAATGACTTGCGATTATGTAAAAGGCATGTTCTTATGTCTGCAACTTAACTCTCAAATGTTTCAGAAAAAAATACGTAAAGAGAAAAAGACAAAGAAAATTTGTAAAAGGTTAACATTTGGGGAATCTGGGTGAAGTACATACATGGATTCTTCATGTAACTCTTCTATAAGTCCTAAATACTTAAAAAGTTAAGTTAAATATGTAAATAAGAAAAAAAGAGAAACCAGCTCTGATGTAGCATATTCATATATAGCATCTACTTTTCAAATACAGAATAAGCAGGAAATCCCAGTATAAGTTATTGTGCTTTTTAAACCTTATTCAGTTCATCTAAAAAATTACCTGATTACAATCCAGCAAGCTTCCTGCCACAAATCTGGGGTGATTTCATCATCATCCTCATCATATTGCATATCTGCAAAAAAATATATATATATTGTACTTACCTGCAATAAAATGCTACTAGGTAACATCTCGCCCCTATGATTCAAAGTAACAAACATATTTACTCTCTGCTAAATAATGGCAATCGTTTTATCCCACTTTTCTAAAATTTCAATTACATTAATTGGATTGCAAAGAAATTATATATATATATATATATATATATGTATGTATATACATCTATGCACACATAGGTCTATGTCACATAGGTATTCTCCCAATATACAGAGAGGCCTCAGGACAAAGGTTCAGTGTAAGTTAAGTGAATCTGCAAGTTTTCCATCTTCTCCAGAAAGTCCGTGTAATTCTCATTAATAGCTAACTATAATGATCACTAGGAACAATCTCATAATCCTCTCATCAATAAGCTCCTCAGAAACTAGAATCAGAGACTAAAGCAAGGGAGTGGATTCAAAAAAGGATGCCAGAAATCGGGCAGTACCTTAAGTTAAAGTGGTCTATTATACCAACATTTTATCCATGTAAGGTATGACACCATATTTTCCAAAGGTGACCACAACCCTATCTTCCATTTCACATACTCTTTTATAATGGGATCTTGACACTCCTACCATGAGGATATAAGGGTCTATGTTTCCTTCCTTACATTCCTTCTCCTTGAATCTGGGTGGGTTTTTGACTCTCCCATAACTAAGAGAATGAGGCTGAAATGTCACTACATGACTTCAGAAGCTAGATCAGGAAAGGTAATATAGTTCCACCTTGTTTGCTGATACACTTGTTTCTGGACCTAAGCTGCCATTAAGAAGTCCTGCTACTCTAAAGCTGGTGTGCTGTGTGAAAACCCAAACCATGTGGAGAGGCCACTTACATATGCTCCATCAGCAACCTTAGTCCTTGAATCCTCCTAGGCTAGGAGCAAACATGTGAGTAAGCACTCCAAATCATCCAGCCCCCAGTTGTCAACACCCAGCCTCTGAGTCTTTCCAGCTGAACCACTGACAAAATGAAGGAGACACATCAGTCCTACTATGCTCTATCCAAATTCCTGACCCATCAAATCCATGAATATATTGTTTAAGCACCCAAACTTAGGAGTAGTTATGCAACAAAAGTAATTTGAATAGGGCAATTTGAATATCTGAAAAATCAGTGTACTACTCCTCTAATATTAGTCTCAACTTATGTAAAAAAACAAATTTACTGGATTTTCATTTTTATATTCTGACCTATAGTCTGTAAAACTTAAGAGCTTTGGATTCAAAATTTGATACATATCCAAAATAAACTATTTAATAAATACCTCTTGAATGGACAGCAATTACTGATCCCTACACATGATGGGGAGAAAGAAAAACAAATATCTAAAATTAGCTTAGAAATTTCTAGCTTTGATGACAGATTACAGGTTAATATCACAACCACATAAAAGAAGGTGAGAAAAGGAGGAAGTGATTTTGTCAGTTTTAGGTATACTTGCAGATCATGTACCCCTTTAAATACCTGCAGCAGGCAACTGGATATAATTATGAAGCTTCAATAAGGGGCCTAAATAACAAAGAGTTGAAAATCATTAACAAGTGATTGGTAGACTATGGAGAATTTACACAGAGAAGGAAGAGTAAGGTGGGACATTAGGGAACACCACTGTTAGATGAAGGTAAATTAATCCATGAAAGGAGACTCATTTATTCATCCATCCATTCATCAAATATTAATTCAATGTGTTTACTATCTCCCAGGCATTGGAGACACCACCTTCAGTAAGATAAAAGATGGCTACATTCTCAGGGAAATCATCACCTACTGTGGAGATACAGACAAGATAAAGTCAATTCAGAAAAGAACAAAGTAATGTTTTATATATATGTATATATATATGGCAAAAAATGAAAGTGCAGTAAAGTATGAATGTTTCTTTTTGTTTGTAAAAGGGAGGAAAACAGAATCTGATTTGTATTTACTTGAATATACATCAACCACTCCTGGAGGGATAAGAATCTAAGAATAGTAGTTACCTACTGTGGAGGAGGTTCACCCTGAACATATGGCTGAGATTGAGACTTAAAACTTTAAAAGTTTTATATTTCTAGCTTGCAAGCCATGAGAATATATTACCTACTCAGAAAATTAAACTAAAAAAACTTCAAATTTTTCTGAGACAGGAGTTAAGAAAAGGGAATGTAATGACGCTAACAAATTTTTGGACTCAAGATATAAACAAGACAGAGAAGTTTAAACAGTATAGTTGAAACTTTTGCATCTACTTTCTCCATGAAATAGCAGAGGGAATAGAGAGAAATGTGAGGGGTGGCCACGGAATTGGAAACTAGAAGACAATAATGTTTGAAATAGTAGCTGTGGAGAACGGAAGGGTGAGATCTTAAAATAATAACTAGACGTCACTAAGAATTCTCTATGTAAAAAGAAAAAAAAAGATACATTGGCCCTGTTCAGTAGAATACATACCATCTGAGAACTGTGTCACCTTGTGAGAAAAGCAAATTTAAAGGTCATCTTTTACAATTTAGACGTGTAAGCAATGAAGGAATGCCATGCAGAACACCCCCAACACACACGCACACACACACTATTCCCCGTGTCCCCGGTATATTTCCAGAGCTGAGCACTATGCCTGGCACAGGATGACGCTCAAAACTTCAACTACTCAAATCCACTAACTCTGGCCTTAAGGAAAATAAAAAAAGGAGCCCTCTGCTTCAAAGTCAAAACAACGTAATTTGCCTTACGGTTCTGAACTTTTTCAGAAAGGGAAGGAGGTTATCAGTTTTATGCAGGTGCGGACAGTGGAAAGCACAAGTCACCATGACGGGAAATTTTACATTATACAGCTCGCACCCTCCACCTCTCCCCATCGCGGCTCCGTCCCCGGCCTGGGTGTGGGGACCACCACTGGGGGCACTTGCGCGGCGGGCTACGGGAAGGCCGCAAATCCTCAACTCGTCCAGCTCCCTGCGTTTCCCTCTTTACACCGTCGCACGGAGTGTTCTGAGTGGTCACCTACCCTCGTCCGCGTCGTACATATTGGAAAACGATCCCTGAGCCCCGAACTCTTGAAATCACACAGATAAAGGCACGTAGCACCACCCGCACTCGCAGCGCGACCCGAAGCAATTTCCGTCTCCGGCGCGTTCCCAGAATACTCTGCGTCTCACACCAAACGTCACCCACAAAGGAGCCACGGTAAGATCTGCGCCTGCGCAAAGGGCTGGCTACGTCATGCGTACACTCCTAATTGAGCACGCGCAAATTGTGGCCCGCCGCCACTGGTGGCTGTTGGGGCGATCGCTCTTACATGACGTTCGGATACAGCCAATGAAACTTTTTGTAATGTTGCATCTGAAAACACAAGCGGAGAAGATTTATTAATACAAGATTTTAATTGTGGCCGTGAATCCTGTTCTCATTTTTCTCCTTCTAAAGACCACAAAACACAAAGCTTTTAAAACCGTAATTTATTAAAAGCGAGTTGTGCCAGCGGTGACGCATAGAAGACGCCTGCAAGTGAGCAAACCCTAATCACCAGCTACTTCTGCCCACCCATCTCAGTCTAGGGCCTCCGGGCTTTAAGCGCCGGAGCCTTCATCGCGATAACTCTCGGGACTAGACGAGGGAGGAGAAGCCGAAGTGCCGCGGCTGACAAATGACCGCTTCGAGGTAGTCCCTGACCTTCGCTTCGGGTTTAGCGCTTGCCTTGGGCCTTCGTGAGCGTGCACGTGCGTCGTTCCGCCCCTCCGCCCAGGGCTGTTACCCATGCTACCTGCACGCCTAGCCCGGAGGCTGGTAGGCCCCTTCCTTCGGCCATCGGTTCCTACCACAGCGCGCCGGGGCCTCCTAGAACCGCTCCCCGAGAGGAGATGCACAGCCGCCGCCTCCCAGCACCCGTCGGACCTGGGACGTGGGCCTCCTTATGGCCCGACGGCAGCCGGAGGTTTCCAAGGAAGGGCTGATCTGGAGGAACGGTTTCTGTTCCCCGAGTACGTGCCGGAGCCCGCGCCGGAGCCCGCATCCACCCTGGAAGAGCAGCTGCGGGAGCTGCAGCAGCGGCAGGAGGAAGAGGAGAGACACAAGCAGCAGCAGCGGGAGGAGCGACGGCAGCAGGGCCTCCGGGCCGGCCGCCGGGAGCACCCGGTCGTGGGGCACCCGGACCCAACGGTGCCGCCCAGCGGTCTTAACTGCTCGGGCTGCGGGGCAGAGCTGCACTGCCAGGACCCGGGCGTGCCCGGCTACCTGCCCAGCGAGAAGTTCCTCAGCGCGGCGGCGCAGGCAGACGGTGGCCTGGCGCGGACCGTGTGCCAGCGCTGCTGGCTGCTGGTGCACCACCGGCGCGCCTTGCGCCTGCGGGTGACCCAGGAGCAATACCTGGAGCTGGTGAGCACTGCACTGCGGCGGCCTGGGCGCGCCATGGTGCTCTACATGGTGGACCTGCTGGATCTGCCCGACGCGCTGCTGCCCGACCTGCCCGCCCTGGTGGGCCCCCATCAGCTAATCGTGCTGGGGAACAAGGTGGACCTGCTGCCCCAGGACGCTCCCGGATACCGGCAGCGGCTCTGCGAGCGGCTGTGGAACGATTGTGCCCGTGCCGGGCTCCTGCCGCCTCGTGGCGGCCGAGTGCCCCAGCAGTCAGGCGGGAGCGGGGAGGAGAATTGGAATCCTTCGGCCAGTTCCCGCACAGTGCTCAGGGACGTGCGCCTCATCAGCGCCAAGACTGGCTATGGGGTCGAAGAGCTAATCTCCACGCTTCAGCGCTCTTGGCGCTACCGCGGCGACGTCTACCTAATTGGCGCCACCAACGCTGGCAAGTCCACTCTCTTCAACACGCTCCTGGAGTCCGATTATTGCATTGCCCAGGGCGCTGAGGCCATCGACCGAGCCACCATCTCTCCTTGGCCTGGTGAGCCTCAGAGGCACCCCCGCCCTCCACTTGGTTTTCTGAGAAGCTGGAAGTACAGGCACCCAGTATAGCCTTAAAGTCCATGAGGAGCAGTCTGGAGCCTTCCCTTTAAAATTTCTCGCCCTACTGAGACCACACCTCTCTTCTCTGTCAGCTTAGTGATTGGAGGCTTAGTATATGTTGTAATTTTCTAACAGCAATAATTATGGAGCACTTAGGTGTTCTAGTAATTTATCTAGGTACTGTAGACTAACCAGGGGGAAAAGTAAAGTTCCTGCTCTCTTGGAAATTTTCCGAGCTTTACTTCTTATGTTTCGCCGAAAAATCCTTGTACTTTCTAATAATCCCTCCATCCCTCAATCTTACTTTTCGTATCTGGAGGTTACTCATGAGATCAGTATACTGTACAAATTTAACATTTGAATGGTTTACTAATGCTTGTTGAAAAGAAATGTCAACTTTGTAGCTTTAAGAAATTTCTAATTGCAAAATGGGCCCTTCTGTAACCGTGTGTATTTAACAGCTGGCAAAACTGACTCATTTGTTCCTTCAAAACCAGTGTTTAATTTTTGTTGGACAAGCTGTTTTCTCTGTCCTGGACTTTGGTTGAAGAATACACAGAAATGCTTCTATAATGGGTGGTAGGCTGGTGAACATGGAAAGAAATCAGGCCTGCGGATGTGGGATTCAAGTCCTGGTTCAGCCTGTAAGCCAATCTCTGAGGCTATTTCCTCATCTGTGAAATAAGAGCAATTTTGTAGAGGGTTGTCATGAATGTTAAGTGAAATAAATTACAGTACCCAAGACAGTGTAGCTCCTCAAAAATAGATTTCCTCCTCATATTCCCTTTTCTTCTACAATGTTTATAAAAATATATTTATTCTTTGGTATTTCAGGTACTACATTAAACCTTTTGAAGTTCCCTATTTGCAACCCAACTCCTTACAGAATGTTTGAAAGGCAAAAAAGGCTTAAAAAAGATGCAACTAAAGCTGAAGAAGATCTAAGCCAGCAAGAACAAAATCAACTTAATTGCTTGAAAAAGCATGGTTATGTAGTAGGTAAGTGTCTTCTTTTGGAAAACTTATTGGGTCTATACTGAAATTCTTTGTCGAATGACCTGAAATACAGCTGAGACTAGCTAGTTTTTGTGAAGACTGCCTTCCTCATTCTGGAACACAAAGGCCCTTTTGAGGCAAGGTTATGTTTGGAAACCCAGAGTTCACTGTGCTGAAAAAATGAATACAGTAGATACTTGGAGAAATCCAGTCAACATCCAGTAACTGTCCACCTAGCCATTGTCAGCAGCAGAAATATTTTCATTAAGGTTCAGCCCCACTCCTTGCAGACCAGTACAGGTTGTCAATTCCATGCAGCAGCTATAAATTAGATTGTCCCCTTTTCCTTGCTTCTGACTCCCACTGCCTTTGAAAAAAAGCAAAGGTAGCATTGTAGTCTCACTTTCATACACCAGGTAGTCTTAGTAACTTTTTAAAGAAGTGACTGATAACTTCAGTATAATTTGTTCTAGGAAGAGTTGGAAGAACGTTCTTATATTCAGAAGAACAGACGGAGGAAGCTGCCTTTGAGTTTGATGCTGATTCACTTGCCTTTGATGTTGAAAATGAACCTGTTATGCTTGCAGATAAATCCACCAAACGAGTAGAATTGACCACACAGGATATGAAAGATGCCCACTGGTTTTATGACACCCCTGGAATTAAAAAAGAAAATTGTGTATGTTTTTGATGTCTTTTAGAAACATGAACTTTCAGTTACGTGAGTACTATCTTAATTGGCAGAACACAGAAAAGGAGGTATCCTTTCATTTTAAACTCAGTTCTGATTCATTCATAAAAGTGCTTCAGGATGAATCTCTATGCCATCAAGTTCTGTGTTGTTTGGTAGGCTTCGCTGCTGATAACCTTGTATGATTGTGGTTGTTCTCTTCATTCGAGAGACATTCTCCTCATCCTAGATTTTGAGGTTGAAAAAAAATTGTATCACTGCAGTCCAGCCACCTATTCCATGCTTGAATTCCCCCTATAACACATCCATCAAGAGGGCATCCAGCTTGAACTGAAGTACGGAGTGACTCACCATCAGCTGAAGATGTATCACCTCACATCCCAAGGGAACCCAGTTGGTGTTTGACCTCCTCTTTTGTGTTGAGCTGAGCAGTCTTCCTGAAACTGATACCTGTTGTTACCCAAAGTTGTATGGACCAAATGTAATGCCTGTTTCTTTTGCCAGCCTTTAAAACGTCCTTTCTCTTCCTCACTCTACCCTCTCTTTCTTTCATTAGTTCATCGAACAAACATTGAACACTTACTGTACTGACATAATCCAGATTATTTGTCTTCATTATCTGTAGCTGTTCTGAGAGGCTGTTTCAACCCAGGCCTGTTTTCAGATTGTTTTCTAATTTGTTTTTGTTCTTAAAGTATGACACTTAAGAACTTAATTTCACATAAAGTGTGCTCAGATGAGCATAATTCAGAATAGAATTAATTCTACCTACCTTGACTCTATATATCTTTTTAATCTAATTGCAGGATCTCCTGGACAATTTTGATTGTATCTTATTAAACTCAGCCTGTATCTTACATACTTGTTAAATCTCACTCTATTCATTTGCAGTTTTGAACATCATCCAAGTCATTGATTGACTTAAGTGTGCATCTAGGATACACCCTTACAGCAGATTCATTAGCTTCCTTTGAGTCTGGTTACCTACCAGTTTCTAATTCACCTAATTACTCTATATTCCTGTGAAACAACACTGGTTTCTTGGGTACTTCTCCTTCCTTTGCCTCATCAAGATCATTTAACAGTGTCATTCTCAAAATCATATTCTATTTGGTGTCCCATGACATAGAATCATATATATCTTTTTAGAAATGCTTGTGGCAGTCTTTTCTTCCTTAGCAGTCCATAACCAGAATAATTGGATGGCTCTCTAATGATGTTCCATCAATTCATCTTCACCAACTCCATCTTCCCTTTTAGACTCAGGTCAGGGATAGCAGTTACTGTAGTCATGTATACCCTCTTGTCAAATAGGCAGAAAAGCAAGAATTTACTAAATACACTAGCCAACAGAATGAGACCCTCAAGTTTTTAGATATAAAAGTTCTCTCAGTTTGCTTTTGTGTCACTTTATTGACATATTTATTAGATGCCTTAAACCACAGTTTCTCAAACTGAACCAAGGATCTCTGTTGTGAAATGGAAGGATTAGGGTCTCTGCTTAAAGGGGTTAAAAGGTTTCTTTACAGCAGATGACTTTCAATATGCTTTATCAAAACAAATGTTGAGGAAAACTACTTGCAGCCCCCTTCCTAGGTGTTTTCTTGTGAACCTCTTTAAGGGTCACATATTTTGTATTTCCTTATTATTTTTCTTAACTTCACAAAAGTTTCTTTTATAGTTTTTTACATTCTCTGTTTTTGTTTTTTAATCATGTTTTGATTCCTTAAATTTGTACCAGAATCTTACATTTCCTGGCTCTCCTTTCCTGTTTTCTCTAGTTTATTTAGGAATACTTCATCCTTAGAAACCAGAGGATTCATAACTTCTCTCATTTTTTGCTGAGCATTTGGGGGAAATAAGGAAACTGAAGGCTGGAAGTTAGAAAAAGGTTTTTAAAGCTCCTTTACTTGCTTCTGGAATGAAGTGACCAGTTTGCATTGAATGCATGCACACTTGCCCCCAGGACCTTAGGTAACATACTGCCTTACCCTTAGCTGAAAACCACTGCTCCCAAGAAGCCTTGATGGAGAGAACATACTATCTATCTTGGGCTTAAATCACCAGTGTTTTCAGTTCACACCAATTTTGACATTTAGAGGGTGCTGCTGATGTAAGAATGTCTTACACTCCTATAGACTTATTTTGCCATTACTCGAGATTAAGTTGTGAAAAGAGTAGAGCCATCCATAAATTCATTCATTTAGACAGAATATATAAGTTTTATGTGTAGCAACTTCTGATATAGTTTGATTTATTGTGAAGTCTGGAATATCTTTTATCTTAGAAGTAAATCACAGTGTATCTTCAATAAAAGTAATTCTTAAAAAAATATGCTCTCTGCTTTACAGATTTTAAATCTTCTCACAGAAAAAGAAGTAAATATTGTTTTGCCAACACATTCCATCGTTCCAAGAACTTTTGTGCTTCAACCAGGAATGGTTCTCTTTTTGGGTGCCATAGGCCGCATAGACTTTCTACAGGTAAGGAACATCTGTATACCACTAAAAAATAACAGTATTGGGATTTACTTTAAGGTAGCAGGTATATGAACAAGATTGGCAAAATATTGATAACTAGATCATGATAGTATGGGGAGGTTAATGAAGTATTTTCTTTTTTTAATGTTTGAAAAATGTCCACAATAAAAACTTGGGGAAAATAAATGGAAAAATAGCTGTATCTTCAATATGATGTTGAGTACCTGATACCACTTGGCATGAAGAAAAGGGGCTCTCCCCGTCCTGTGGTAATTGTTTGACACGGAAATCATAGTCCAAACCTTTGGGCACAGAGTTAATATTAATAAAATAAATTCCACACTCCTTTGTATCCCATGGTATGAATACTTCTATATATATACATTTTTGTTTGGTATTCATTTATATAGCACCATTCTGGGGGTTTTAGGGTATATCACTGATCCCCATTTCGGCAGAGGGAGAAGAAAGGAAAATGAATGAATGGTCCACCAGCCTAACACTGCATGTGTCTGCTGACACTTGCTGGGCATTGCTATAGCACATCTCCTGGCTTTGGTGTTGGGTCAGAATTTGTTGGAAGTGGAGCTTTACACACTTAAATCCCTTACATACTTCACTAAGCCCACAGAACGTTAATATTTTAAACCTAACTTTACACAGAGACATTTAAACCAGACAGTATTTCCTTTTCTTTCTAGCAACAGAAGTATTACTACTTTTTAAAATGGCATCAGCTTACAGAAGGAATCAGTTTTCTGTATACTGCTGATGTGCACTCCTGCCATATTGTGCACCTTTTTTTAGTCATTAATATAGTTTGAGTACAGCTGCCATACTGTTACTTATGAACAGCTTGGGTTTTTTTTCTTTTTGGTTATTTATTGTGCCTTGTAATGTGCAGGTTTTGCAAGTTTTTCATTGTGTGAAATAACTTTTTTCTTCCTTACTTAAGGGAAATCAATCAGCTTGGTTTACAGTTGTGGCTTCCAACTTCCTTCCTGTGCACATTACTTCCTTGGACAAGGCAGACACTGTGTATCAGAAGCATGCGGGTCACATATTACTCAAGGTGAGGCAGCATGCTTTGATGATTGCATAGTTAGGTTCCCATACACCATGATAGTCCCATGGCCTGCTAAGGAAGCCTTTATGGGACAGAACCATCTTTGCTGTACCACTCTCCCCTCACCTTGTCCCCCTTGAGGATCTTGGCTGTAAAGTGAAATGGGCTCTATAAGAAAAAGGGACGTTGGTTTGGACTTATCCTAGAATAGCTACAGACCTGTGTTTTCTCTGTAGTCTATACTGTCCAATACAATAGCCACATGCAGCTATTTAAATTTAAATGTTATTTAAAATTAAATAAGATAGAAAATTTAGTTCTTCAGATGCACTAGCTACTTTCCAGCTGCCCCCAGTCATATCATTGCAGAAGGTTGTGTTGGATAATGCTGAGTGAAGACAAGTTACAGGTATTCTCACAACTGGTGCACTTACAATTGGCATTAGTGGGGTGGGGGCAGCCAGGGGATGTTGTACATGTACAGGACAGCCCCTCACAACAGAGAAGGATCTGCTCCAAAGTGATAGTAGTGCTGAAGTTGAGAAGCCTGGTCTAGGTGGAAAAGCTCTCCTCCCAGGTTCTTAATCCCACACACTTACAGATTATCCCTCCTTTTCTCTTCTTTTCTGTGAGCTCCTTCCTTCAGCTTATAAGTATGTTAAAAGTTCTGTCGTCTCTAAAAAACAAAACAAAACCCAGTGTCCTGCTCATTCCTTCTCTTTACAGTTAAGCTTGCTCCTGCTCCTCATGCCCCATCTTCTGCACTCCCTGTTTGGCATAGACTGCCACTGAAATTGTTCTTACTAAGTTCACCAAAGACTGAATCAGGACTTTAACAAGACATGCTGTGCACACTGTTGGCTAGTGTATATTCTGTCATGGTTAAGATCATTGAAGACAGACTGGGTTCAAATGCCTGCTCGCTCCACCACACCAGTTAACAAAGTGTGTGACCTTAGGCGAGTTGCCTTTCCTTCTCGATGTTGTACCCCATCACAAGGTGGAGAAGGTTGAGTTCGGGCACTGTTGTAGCTGCTGTGTACGTGTCTGTGATGATACTGTGGAAACACCTACAGCAAGACCAGCAGGCGTGCCCAGTACAGAAGTGACTGAGCGTGAATCAATGCTCATGCAAGCTGAAAATAAACCACAGAATAAAGCCCTGCCCTTCAAAGGATAAAAACAAGTCTGACTTGAGAAATAAATGCTTTCTCACTGAATTTTTTGAGAAAGCCAGACTGAAATGAAAACTCCATCGAAATAACTGCCCTAAGGTTCCTATTTCAGAGATTTGTATGATTTGCAGGGTGGGTGAGCATATAAAGGCAATCAGCAATATAGGATCTGTTGATTTTTCTACACTGAAAAACTTTAGTTCTCTTGTTATACTTGTTCACCTTTTTTTTAACATTTGTCTTCAATTTTTTTTTTAATACACAAAATTTTCTATCATAATATA